TGAGAGAGAGAGAGAGAGAGAGAGAAATTATATAAGATTATATGATTCGACGTGTTTTTTATCAATTATTTAGGTATTTTTTATGGACGTGCTATTCGAAATTTAATATTAAAATAAAAATCAGAATTTCTATTTTAAAAATCAAATCCGATATATTTATTTTACAACGTCTGCTTACTGGCTTTCACTGTTGATTATTCCGATTTCTGTGTCAATTGGTTCCCTGGATGGTATTTGATTTTCCCATGTTCTAGGTGAACGCTTCCTTAATGGACTGTGACTCTTCTCAGGTTCAGGTGTGAATTTATGCCCGGGTGGATATACCATTCGTGAAGGATCGTCAAATGCTGTCTCCAGTTTGCTTCTACGATACCACGTGCGGCACGAAGCATTGCTGTACCAATCGCTATAAAAATGTGTTTCATTCGCGATCAAACTTTCTCAAAATGATAAATTACATTAACTTTACTAATAGAATACTTTATTAATAGAAGCATGTCTTTCTGAATATTGTTGTGATTGCGCAAATTTCACAAATATATTTTTTGCACGCATAATCCTTTTTTTTCTGTATTCAACTTCTACTTAAGTTAAAGAAAATAGTTACATTTACAGAATCCTAGATTGTGCAAAATTTATTTTCGCCTTTAAAATGTGTTGTTAAAAGATAATAGTCTGTTCTTACCGATAAAGTTTATAATAATTCTTTAAATTTTCGGAAGGTATCCTGTAGGGTTCTGGTGGCGAGCTGTCAATGTAATTAAACCATGGATGAGCCAAAGCAGTCCTAACATCCATTCTTTTATCGACATTGTACACCAATAAATTATGAATAAAGTCCTGCGCTTCGTTCGAGATATTTTTCCATCGGTCATCGAAATCCCATTTGCCTTCTCTAATCTTCTTCAGCGTCTCTCTATCGTTCGCACCTCTAAACGGCGAGATACCCGATAGCAAAATGTAAGTAATTATTCCAACAGACCACATGTCTGCACCGTAGCTAACGCCTTCGTTATTAGTTACTTCCGGTGCAATATATTCTGGCATACCATATGCCAAGGTCATCAACTTTGTTTGCGAAATTTTACGAGCCAATCCAAAATCTCCGATCTTTAGGTCATCTCCTCCAGCGTGGGAAACAAGTAGATCGCCGAGCTACAATAAAAAAATATTCAAATATACTAATTTTAGCAAAGTTAAGATTTCATGTAGAAATATCTATAAAAAAAAAAAAGGATTTTTTATTTCTATTATATTTAAATTTCAAACTCTATGTTCGCTTTAAGTAGATTAAGTGATATAAAAAGAAATTCTACAAATCACTGATTATTCGAAAATGTCATATCTCTTTAAAAAAATTTATTTTTAAATAACTTACCGTCAGACCGAGATGTGCGTAATGATTTCCATGTATATATTCCAATCCCCATAATAATTGGCGTATATAACGAGCGATATCTATTTCAGTATAATGTTCTTGTCTTGTGAGATTGTCCACTAATT